GCCCGGTCCGCGCCCCCCCCGGATCCCCCCAGGCCGCCCTGGGACCGCCCCTCGGCGGGAGCCGCCGGGATGCTAAACCAGAGCGCCGGCGAAGCCGGGAGCGCGTCCTTCCACCCCTCTCGCTCCCCGTCGCCGTCCTCGCCAAGGCCGACGCCGGCTTACGCCGTGAAGGTGTTTCTGTTTCCAGGCTGATAGCGTCGGGCCTGCCGTCCTTCCTGCGCCGGGGTCTCAGCGGCCTGCTCGCGCTGGGGACGTGCGCCCTCGAGATAGGGCCGAGCTTGTGGCCGGAGGCGTCGGGGCCCGGCTGCGCGGCCGGTCGGCGTCAAGAGGATAAGGCGAGACCGCAGGCTTGACGCCCAGCCCAGGGTGCGAAGGGTGGGGAGGACAATATGTCGGGTTTAAAAATCTTGCCGGGCGCTTTCGAAATCCGCCGTAATTGCGAATAACTTCTGCTTCTGCACCAAAGCGCCGCGAGCGGAGTCGCTTCTTCGGCCTTCGCCGCCTTTTGTCTCTTTTCCCCCCGCCGCCTTTGTGGGGACGGCGGCGCCGGCCGGGCGCTTAACGGCTCAGCTCTGGTCTTCGTTTCCTCGGGCGCTTGCTCCGTCCGCGGCGTAAGGAGCTGCCGTCGTCGCTGGACTCCTGCTGCGTCGTTCCCGTCCTCGCCTGCCCCTTGCTCTAGGGCTGCTGCTTGCTCCGTCTGCATCACACGACGGGATTCCCGTCCCGGCTGGGGCGGATGCTGTAATATTAACAATAGCAGCCTTCCTGTGACGTCATTCCATCCTGACAGGGGCCGGCGCGGATCTCGTCACCGACAAAACGGCGGCGGCGCGCTCCCGCCTCCCGCCGCGATCTGAACCTTGGCGTTCCCAAAAAAAAAAAGGCAGGCCGGGCAGTTTGTCTGATTCGGCCTTTTTTTTTGGTGGCGCGGTTGCTGCGGGGCCGGGCCGGCGGTTCCCTTTCCCCGTAGCTTTCTGTTTGAAAGCGCCGCCTGAGTTTTCCCCGCCGTCGTGCTTTCTGCTATTGGATTTTTTATTTTTTTTTTTCCGCTTGCGTAACGTTTTTCCGAGCGGCGAGGTCAGGATCCGAGCCCGCTGTGCGATCCGTCACCAGACACGATTCGCCTTTTCTTTTATCCTCGCGCAGGTCGGATGCGGAGCGCGGATTCGCGGCCGGGGGTGCTTTTTCAGCCCGGTGTTGTTAGCGTGGGAGGGAGAGGAGGAGTCGGCCAGACCAGCGGAGCTCGAACCGCCCCAGATTAAACTCGCATCTGGGCTTTGCTAAGCCTCGCTGCAGTTGGGGTTGAAATGCTCGAGTTCTTCCCCCTCCTAAACTGCTGCCGGTGGAAATTTTGGCAGCCCCTAATTATTGTGCTGCTAGAAAACCGGCCCCCGTAATTAAAAATCTTTGTTTCGGAGCGTTGAAGCCTCGGTCAGAAGGTTTTTAATAAGGGGTGAACGCGCTCCGCAGACAGCCGGGCTCTGCGTCGCAGGCTTTCTGCGAGGCCGAACCCGCGCTCGTCTCTGTAACCGGGAGCCTTTCGCTCCCATCCTGTGGCGCTAACTTCGTTCCGCAGCTCCTGTTAATAACGGGGTAATTACGCGTGGCGTGGATTCTGCCCTGCCTTGGTGCCGGCGGTCTCCAACCGTCGGCTCGGTGGTCGCTGCCGCGTGCCGGTGGTACCGGCGCGTCGGCGTCTCCCGCTCTTTAAAGCGTTGCGTTCTCTCCACGCCTATTGAATTATTTGGGAATACGATAACGAGGAATACAGGCTATCGTTACGCGCTCTTAGGAAGCTCTGCACGATAATTTGGGGATTAATAGCCCCGAAACGGCTCGCCCGTTACCCAGGTTGGGCAGGGACCGCCTGCTTATCTCCGACGCCGTTGGGGTACCCGTCCCGGCGCTCGCGGCTGGGCGAAGCCCGTTGGGTTTTATCCCGCGCCGGCGGCATCGAGCGTTTCTCCGGGACGGATAGCGGGATGCCGGCCGGCTGGGGAGGAGCGCCGAGGCCTCCAGGCTGTTCCACCTGTCCCAATAAACCAGCCGCGTCGCGTGAAGCTTGCTCTAGATTTCAAGCCGAACGCATCGAGCTTCCGCGCTTGGAGCGCGCGAGCCGCGTTTTATCCGCGAGAGCTTTTCCGCCTGAAGCCGAGGGGCCGCTTGCCGAGCGTGCGAATGCACGTCGGTGGAAGCGCACGCGCGCGGACGGGCGTGCCGCTGCTGTTGGGAGGGGAGCTGGGCTTAACAACCCAGGCGATCTCTGGCGGAGGGGCCAGGCGTCGCTCTTGGAGCGGCGTCCGGTGGTTTTGGTCTGCGAAACGGGGCGGAAAAGGGAAAGTTTCCACGTGGAGTGGTTTTCCTCACGGGAACTGCCTGGGAGGTGTAGCTGTCGGCTGGGAGGAGGGTGGGAGACCCATCGGTGAAGCCTTCGGCCTCTGGTTCGTTCCCGTTGGAGACGAATAAACAACACAGAGGAAACAGAACCGCGCTTTGGACCTCGCTCAAATCGCTCCGGCCCCTCCGATTTCCCCTCGCGGCAGGTCTCGCTCCTCCCGCACGCCAGCGAAGCCTTCCCAAAGGGATGCGAGGAGGCCTTCCACGCCGGCTAACCGCGTTTCCTTCTGGAAACAGCTGGTTAGAAACGGGCGGTGGGGTTATTTTTGCTGATCTCCCCCCCTTTCGCAGCTGTTTGACCTTTATTCTTGGCTTTTCTGACCCGTTAGGAAGGTGCAGAGCCTCCGTAGGAAGCCCGACTCCAGCAGCGCTCCGAGCCCGGCATCCCGTCTCCCGTAACGAGCCACGCCGGGTTCTTCGGTGACGCGTCCCGGCCCCCTGCGTGCCGCCGAGGCTCGGCTAGCGAACGAGGCGGTTTCGGCTCAGCCGAACGAGGCGGTTTCGGCTCAGCCGCGGGGAAAGGCATTGTTCCCTCTTCGGAATAAGTCATTTTGGTTGATTGCGTTAGGGGTGAGCGGCAAGGAGCGCTGGCGCTCGGATAAGGAGTCGGGGGGAGGCCTGGGTCCCTCTAAATCTGTGAATTAGGTGCTGGACTTAAATACATCTGGGGGGAAGGAATCTGTCTCGCTGCTGCATCTGTTTCAGCAGGCGTCGAAATGAGTTGGTCTTGCTGTGCGAGGGGCGTGAAGCGACTCGATTCTCTCCTTTAGCGGGGAAAAGCACAAAAGGAAATGTAAAATACTGCATTAAAATTACATTACTAGCTGTATTAAAAGCCGTCCCATTGGCGTCCCGATGAAACGCGCATTGACCAAGCCCTCTTTGGAGCCCTTGTCGTGTCAGTACAAGCGTGCTAAAGGCGCCGAGCCTCCCCCAGCCCCGCTCCGGCTCTCGCGGCGACGCTCCGACAAACGGCGGCGTAAAAGACGTTTTCAGAGCCGTATAAAGCCCGGCCATTGAGCGCGGCGGCCGCTCGGACCGGGCTGACAATGGAGCCGTTGTGATGGGGGCGGTGGGGAGGCCCTCCCATCGGCAGCGTACTCGAGGAACCAAACCTCAATGGGGCATTATAAGGCCTTCGATGGCGTTATCGGTGCTCCCCGCAGCCGTAAATAACGCCGGGGCCAAGCCGGACGGCCGCGACGGCAGGGCTTGGGGGATGGAGGTGGCCAGACCTCGGTGAGAGATCCTTTACCGGCATCGGGCACGGTCCCCTTCTCCCAGTGGGACACTGAATAGGCTCCGTAAAATGCTTCGGAGACCCCAAAGCGGAGATAAACCCCAGCATTTGGGCCGGGCATCGGCAGCTCTGGCCCGAGGAGGCTCGCTGAGATTTTTAAGCCGGTGTTAATGCTGCGTTTACGCCTCTCTGAGGGAGAGTCTCTCCACGGGAGAGGATGGAGATGAAAGCGACCTGTTCTTAGGGCTTTTCCGCAAATATTCCCTGGGGTCTGGTTTAGCTCGGGTGCCGGGAACCGGCTGCGCCGAGCTGGGATGGCGGCTCTGTGGGTGTAAATCACGGCTTTGGCTGAATTGGTTTGGGAGGATTTTATGGCAGCCTTCGTCAGAGGAACGGCAATTTAACGGCAAGGCGTTGCTTCAGAAATGGGAGGGGGAAACTCTTTTATCAGCGGGCAGAGCTGGCTGAAAATGGAGCAAAAGGAAGGGAATTTGGAAGCGAGTGGGGCGGTTGCTAGCGAAAACGCATCTTGGAGGGACATTGGGGACGCGGCCCCGACCGCCTGGTGGGTCTCTTCCCCGGGAGTTCGGGGTGTCTTTTCCCTGGATTTTGGGGAAGAGCCGCCACAGGGTCGCTGGAGAAGAATCCGGCAAGATAAACGGGAGCCTGAAACCGGAGAGGGAGCGGGCAGGGACAGGCAGAGCCGGGCAGGGACAGGCAGAGCCGGGCAGGTACGAGGCAGCGCTCGCCGCTCGGGGGCCAGCTCTCAGGTGCCTTCGTCACGGGAGATTTTCTAGGGGATGGGATGCATTAAATGTACTTCCTCCACCAGTGACCTTTGTCTTTTTGCTCTCTTTGCAAAGCAGAGTTTCCTGGTACCGCACGCAAACAGCAAGTGGAGACAGAGGATTATTCTGAATAATCAAGTGAATGGGAAAATCCGGGTTTAATGTCACTTCAAACACAGGTTTGACCTCACTCCTCGGAGGTTACGTCTCTGAGGTGCGTCAGCCCGATCGAAGTCTTGCTTTGTGCCACCTGTCCCGCGTCTCTGAGTCACTTTTAGTGTTCAGAAAATGCCAGAGGGACCTTCTGGCAGGCTCCAGTTCTCCCCCGCTGTGTTTGCAGCCGTTGTTTCCTCGTGAAGGAGATGGTTCCTGCCAACCCTGGCCGCAAAATGCGTGCGTGCGAGCGGGGCTGAGCGCGGTAACACCCTTCGTTTGTAAAAACGCCCACTCGCTGCCGTCCACGGGTGCCGGATGGGGTCACCCGGCTCCGTGGCCACACAAGGGCTGGCCCGCGTCCGCTGCCGGGCAGGATTTGCACCGTCCTCCCCGATGAAGCGAGCTCTTGTTGGGCTTTGGTTTGTGTCGAAAGGGCAGGTCGCTTCGTGCCTGACCCCGCGGCGTAGCGGCGGGCGAGTTCGTGCTCTGCGGAGCCGGGGGGTTTATATCGTTAACCCCCGGAGATCGTTAACGCGGCAGGTCGGAGGCGGTGCGGGTGGGAGGAGGGAGCAGCGGAGCCTGCCAGGCGCGTTCGGTCCCATCCAGGTCGCAGGAGATGCTGTGGACCGATGCTGTCCCCTCCTGGGGCAGGCGGCGGGGCCGCGGGCAGGGTTTCTGCCTCTCGCGGCGTTTATTTCGACAGGAGGAAGCTGCCACCGCTTTCCAAATAGCGTAACAGGGCCCGTCATAGTGAAACTGCAGAGCCGTAACCGTGCCGTGCCGAAACAGATCCTGATGTTCCTGCTGCCGTCGAGCAGCCAGCCTCAAACGCTTCCCTTTCCTGTCGCATCCCACCTCCCGTGGCGGCCGCCCCAGGAGCTGTGCCTCCCGGGG